GTTGTTGACTATTAGTCTTAGCGGATTTTCTTCCTTGTGTATCTTCCGTAGTCCGTAGGCTGTCGGTGGTTTTGCGTGATTTTTTATTTTTTATTTTATCATCCATCTGTCAATTTCCTCATTATTATGCATTCCCTTGAGCATATTCTTCAGTGTCCCGTTGATCTTCTTGGTTGGATCCTTCCTAAGTATTTGAAAAGTGTTCCGGTCGCCTAGGATCCTTTTTATTTTATCCGTGTAATGTTTCCTGTCCATTACAACCGTCGCTCATCCCTTATCCGCCTGAAGAACTATTTGATTATTTTATAATTATTTCCGTATACCAGTGAATCTGCTCCTGCCTATTGGTTCTTGATGCGTCAAGATCCGTGAGATTATTTCCAGTTCCATCTCCCGCCTTGTCTCTTCTGGAAACTTATCCGATATGTTGAAAACTTCCAAAAGAATATCACTAACTACGTTTCCTAAATTAGCTAGGGAAAAATGTAAACCCTTCTTTAATAGAACCATGGCTTCAGAATAAAGAGGGATTGAAGATAGGTTTACTACCTTAGTCCTGTCGTCGTCTGTAGCAGTTGATGCCTTCAATCCAGAAGCATCAAATTTTCCGTTGTCATATTATCCCATAGCTATGCAATTTCTTGTCATGCCGCTTATTTATCAGATCCTGGACCCTCTGTCACTTCTAGTCCGTCATTCTCTGGAGTTTTTGAAAATCATCCAGTGAGAACCCTAACTAGATCCTTCCTTAATCTAGACTTGATATCTATGAGCTTAAATAGCTTATGCACGTAGCTTTATCTAATTCCTGGATGAAGGCGTGATAAAGTATTTCATTAACTTTGTCCGAATGACACTTCCTCATTAGATTGCAGAATCGGAGTGCGATACCATAATGTTTGCAACAATTCAAAAAGGCCAAATGGCAGGATTGACTTAGAATTTTCTTCTTTGTCTGGCGTTAATTGGTACATTGCTTAGCAATCTTACTTTCATAGTTTAATCGAAGATATGAAGACAAAGATGGTGTGGCCTTTTGGGTGGTCACAGTCTCCTGTTGTATAGAAGTTGTTTGACCTTGTTTTCCCAACTTGGTCATATTGGTAGGAAGACTTAGAGGAAAGCACCTAGTCCGGAGTCCATTGTATGCATGATAATTTCCCGAGTCGGATCGTGGATGTCATACATTCCCAGACGTTTCGCCCTCACCGTATTCGCTATCGTCAATGGGCCTTGCCATTCTTAACACCATACTAAAACTGGTCAAAGAGAGAAGTGGAGCCGATTATTTGACCAAATGTGTGCTAAAAAGCTGTGTTATCTATCCTGTTCTGGGCTATTCACCTTTCCTATATCCTCTTAAATAATTACAATTTTTCCTTGCTTATTTAAATGACTTGCTATGCCCTAGTTTCTTGTGTGCAAACCAACAAACGTTGTGTTACTGCTTTCTTAAATTAGTTTCAATGTTTAACCACAACGTTTGTGGGTTGGCATACAAGAGGCTATGGCATAGCAACTCGTAGACTTATATTAGCGATATAGACAGGATAGACGCAGCGGGGACTAGACCTAGTTGTCTGACCGTAAGCCTGTTAACCATAGACGTGGTCCATGTAGCAAAGGCTCGACCATGAGAATTTTTCAGACGCATAGTGTGGGAGCTAACGTCTCGAGTAGCACAGATGGGGTCTCAGAGGTCGAGTGAAATACTTGAACCAGAGAGATAGCAGCCGGATCATACGGGGCAAGAGGGCGACTCTGATAGGGCCTAGGCAAGAGGACTGCGATAGAATATGGCAGACTTTGACAACATTCTCAGCACAAGGGTGAAGGGAGTGAGAACGACAGTTTCGAGTTTGGAGAGCTCTCATGAAAGCTCCTCAAAGTGCCACACAAGGAAAAATTGTGATTTGAGAATATTGGGAAGGTGAATAGTTCAGGACAAAAGGAGAGATACCACAACTGTTTAGCATGCATTTGCTCAAAGTATCGGCTTCACTTGTCGTTTTGACGAGTTTTAGTATGGTGCTAAGACTGGCATGACTTACTGACGATGCTGATTACGATGCCGGCGTAATTTCTGGGATTGTACCACGCCAAAGGTCCAGCTTTGGAAACTATTATGCGTACAATGATGGACTACGGTCTAGGTGCGCTTCTCTAAGTCTTCCCACAAATATGACCAAGTTATAAAAAAAGTAAACAACTACTATACAACGAAAAGAGACTGCGATCATACAAAAGGCCACACCATCTTGGTCTTCATATCTTAGATTATAATTTATTATTTAATTATGTCAATATTGGCATTCTAGCCTTGTTTGAAAGATTTTCTCCTCCATTGGCTTGTCTATTTATCTCAAATAAGCCAAAAGTACATTCTATACAATGTTGTTATATTTTATTAACATTTTTAAAACTTTTGTTTTAAACTTTCCTGATAGCGTGGATCTCTTAAAGCCATCGTTTCTTGATCTAAGGAGTACATACACACAAAAGATATTCTTAATTAGTTCCCACTCTACGCGTATTGAAATCCATACTCTTTTTCTCTCTAATCTTTCTTCCTGAATAAAGAACGAGATAGTCAGCGGCCTTCAGAATGCCATGGAATTGTCTCTGCTCTCTTGCACTGAGTCACAGCGCTTCATAACACGCATTCTTCATCTGTCTGCCGATTCATGTCTTGAGACTAACAGTTCCGACGATGAGGTTGGTGTGGTTGGCCGTACTCGATTTTCTGGACAGAGACATCATACTCCCACCAGCAAAGCAGCATTCAATAGTTCAAGCCAGCAATTCCGACCACAAGAAAAGGTGCGAGTTGACTCCAGAATGCAAAGTCTCCATGCTTTCCTCTCGACTCCTGATGCACTGTCAAGCCGAAAGCTGCCCTCAGTTAGTACTTGTTCTATCTTTGATCAAAGTACTAAATATAATACAAGCCACCATGAAGTCACCGCCCCTACGGAATCTTCAGGGCAACCCACCCGATCTGATTGTGACGAGGCGAGTGATTTCCCTATCTGTTCGTACGAAAAACTGCGAACAGATATAGATTCTGCCCAGCCCAATGCCGGTGCCGTATCGTATAGGCCATCTATCCCTTTAGTACGTGATAACCCAGAACACACAGGTTTGGAGAATGGATCTGGAGAAGAGTCGGTTGCCTTGCTCTCTAGTGACAGGTAAAAGTGTGCAAATATACTATTCCCTCATTAAACATTATTCAATAAAAAAGCAATTCTCCAAAAACTTTATTTATTATCCTCACATCTAGAAATTTCTATCTCCGGTGATTTCATCCTAATTCATTCGCTATTTAAGATTGTGAAGATTTTCATTTCGTAGAAAAGTGAACGAGGAAGAGATTTGTAGGTTGATCTCATCAGAAGGCGACGGTTGATTCTTGATTTACTGCAGTAGTTTGGCTTTAATACGACGTTCAGGTTGATGCAGCCAGCGAAACATACTCCCTCTTTTACGGCGAAAAGAGGCTGAGCTTTTGTTCATCATATAGCATTTGCATTTAGTTGAAACCATCGCTCAGCTGACGGGTTGAATCACCCTCTGAACTGTGATTCAATATCATACCTCTCATTCAATAATTTAGTCAAGCATAAATAATTCTTATTAAAACTTCTACCAGCATTACTCGCATTCAACGTGTTCCCTGATCTCTTAACTTCGTTTATCTTATCCCTTATCTTTCGTTTCGTAGCAGATATACCATAATCAGCAAATCCCTTCGTCTGAGACCATTCCACTTCATGCTCAGTCTTGTCCTTTGCTCAGCAAATTCTCACCATCTGACTCAGCTACCCTTACAAGCAGTATTGTTTCCCGCTAAGCCTAGGTAGATAGACCGGCAGGTCTCGCTAACATAAAGTCGACCACAGGGGCACACAATCTTGTAGCAGTGAGAACTCGATACTGGGTCATATTTCTCTAAAAGAAGGCAATACCACAAAAAGAGTCAGAGGTTCTTTAAAAACTGTTTTTATCTCACATTCCCTCACTAGTTCGTTTATATTCTAAGAAAGAAGGCACAAAGGTAAAATTAGGATGTGTGAAAATTTCTCGGCATGCCTATCTTTGACTAAATAGTCATCTTCTAAAAATTTATTCCTTAGTAAAGGGATATTATTATCATTCAGGGATAAAGGATCATTGAAGTTGTTTGACCTTGTTTTCGCACCTTGGTCATAATGGTAGGAAGACTTATAGAAACGCACCTTGTCCTGAGTCGATTGTATGTATAATTATTTCCAAAGTCGGACCGTGGACGTGGTACATTCCCAGAAGTA